GCGGTGAGAGAGGGAGACACAGAATCGGAATCAGGCTCCAGGCTCTGAGCTGTCAGCACAAAGCCCCACGCGGGGCTTGAACTCCTAGACCGTGAGATCATGCCCTGAGCAGTTCACCGACGGAGCCCCCCAGGCGCCCCGACCCCTCAGAACTTGCTGGTAGCAGGTGTGGTCACTGCTTTATCCCCACCCTCGCGCACAGCACAGCGCTGGCACACGGCAGACGCCAATGTTTACTGGATTAACAAATGAATTTGACAAAGCAATACCGTCAGGACCCGGACCCAGGGCTTCTGCCCCCGGTTCGCCCTTTCCTCCCCACGGGTCACCCTGTAGAGACTGAACTCGCTCCTGGAGGCTGGGGTGGGGCCGATAAGGAATGCGTGGGCAACAGGAAGGCTCTGTGAGAGGCCGGGCTAAGTCTAAACAGCCCTTCTTGGCTGTACTTAGAGTGACGTCAGTGGCTGGCCCAGCCCTCAGGAGGGCAGCAGGTGGGATGGGCAGTGTAGACAGAAGAGCTTTCCCTGACCTCTCTCTGCGGAATTTCCAGTTCTACCTGCTGGGCTCCTCCCCGCCCCCACCCATCTCCCCATCACAGGGTTGGGCAGGCCCACCGAGGGCTCGCTCCCTCCAGGAGCCTGGCATCCAACTGCCTGCCAGCCAGCTGCTTCCTCCTGTCCTTCCCCCACACTGCAAAACAAATACCACAGCCGGACTTTAGACAGAAACCCTGCTTATCAGGGAGTCCCAGACAGATGAACTCTGAGTTTTCAATGCCTGCAAAAGCCAGGATGCATCCACTCACACGGCTTCCACAGCCCCCTCACCACGCTGCACCCTCGTCCACAATTACATCTGACGGGCGGCCAGCCACGTCTTTCCTGGACCGCTGCACAGGAAGCTGGTCTGAGTTTAGAGGCCCCCAAGGCCTCTCCCCGATGCTAACAGATGCAAAAAACAAGGTCCACCATTTCCTACTTGATCACACAACCTGCGTGTAGCTTTTAACCTGTCTTCGAGCAAGGGTGTCAGCCCTTTCAGTGTCCACCGAACGGGTGGCCCTTGACCCCGTGGCCTTGGGGGTGGGGAGAGTGGGATCCTAATGACCAAGGCCACGACCCCCGTGATGCCGACAGGAAAAGGTCCCCAGGGTATCCCGAAGCAAACTGAACAAGGGGCCTGATGTAGTTAAGTCTGTAGTGTGCCTCTTTTCGGGTAAGAAAAGGAAGAAACAAATACATATTTATATGTAATTGTACCTGTGTAACAAAACACTGGAAAGAGACATAAGAAACTGGGGGTGGGGGGGCATGGACTGAACGGGAACAGGTGGACAGTTCCCACCTTTCTAGATAGATCTTCTGATTTCAAACCATGTCAATGTATTAACCTGTTCTTTTTCATTGCAGGAGCTCTACCCCAAACCCAAACGAGGCTGGAGACCCCTGGCAAGCCTAGATCACAAAGAAACCAGACAGAAATGTGGCGAAGTGAAAGTGTCCTGGGGGCTTCACCAAGCGAGCAGAAGCACTGGAATTCAGTCACCGCCCATTTCCTAGTTCCTAGTTTCTGCTGCCATCGGCCACTAGGTATCCAGGGAACAATTCTTTCCTGGGAGTAGATTCAACTGGCAGGTATGGGGAGGGGGAAGGAGAAGGAGAAATGACTCACTGATGTGGAGTTTGAGCAAAGCTGGAGACCAAAGCTGGAAGGGCCAGGGTGGGAACCATCATGGAGAAGACCAGGGTTCGCGGACCGACACAGGCACAGGGCAAGCAGCCCCTCCCTCCGGGAACGCCTCAGTGGGGACCCCACCCTCAAGTGGGGTGGGGAGGAAGGACCGACCCAGGTTCCCCTTTCTTCCCCGTGGTTACACCTAAAGCCTCCTCTCACACAGGTCCATGCTAAGCAGAAATACCTCCCCCTGCCTGGGAGATGGCTAGAAACGCTCCTAAATGCCGGCTCCCCAGGGAGAGGGAGACCGTGTTCTCGGTCACTGGTCGTGCTTTTCCCAGGCCCAGGGCCCTCCATGTTTGGGCTCCAATCCCTGCCCAAGCAGCTCGGGCCTTCCTCTCCACTGGGCTCCTCAAACTGCGGTTAGACCTTTGCTTCACTTGGGTCATATCCTGCCCTTTCCTCTTTAATGACTAGCAGCCCTGATGGGAGGAGAGCATGGGGGCACCCACACACGATCCAGACATCCCAAGGTCAGAGGGCAGACCAGACACCCAAGAAACAGCCCTTAATGGAGCACCTGGGTGGTGCAGTCGGTTAGGTGTCTTGACTTTGGCTCAAGTCAGGATCTCATAATTCATGGGTTCGAGCCCCACGTCAGACTCTCAGAGCCTGGAGCCTGCTTCAGATTCTGTCTCCCTCTCTCTGCCCTTCCCCCACTCATGCTCTGTCTCCCTCTCTCTCTGCCCCTCCCCGTTCATGCTTCCTCCCTCTCTCTCTCAAAAAAATGAATAAAACATTAAAAAATAAAGTAAGTAAATAAAAACCAAAGAGCTCTTACTCTTCTACCCTTGACATTTGGGAACTAGCAGGGTTCTCCCTTGACCTACTCTCCTGGGTCAGCATTCCTTCGTCATCACAAATCCAAAGAGCTAGCAGCTCCCCGATAATAATCATCCCTTCGTGCACATGTAACATAGCCCTTGTCCTGGTCAATCCGCAGGACAAGCATTATTACTCTTGCTCCGCAGATGGAAAGACTGAGCCACTAGCCTAAGATCACAAAGAAGGCAGAGAGTCAAGCTAGAAGCCAACTCGAGTCAAGCCAACGAGGATGACTCTTGGTTCCATCCTCATTGTACTAATCAAATCATGCCCCCCAGGTCCAGGTCCAGATTTAAATGTGACAGGATAGGGCTGCCTGGGTGGTTCAGGCGTTAAGCGTCTGATTTTGGCTCAGGTCATGATCTTGTAGTTCGTGGGTTGGAGCCCCATGTCGGGCTCTGTGCTGACAGCTCAGAGCCTGGAGCCTGCTTCGGATTCTGTGTCTCCCTCTCTCTGCTCCTCCCCTGCTCATTCTCGATCTCTCTCTGTCTCTCAAAAACAAATAAACGTTAAAAAAAATTTTTTTTTAGGTGACATGGTCGGTTCCCCATCCCTTGGACATGTTACTTCTCAGGACCCACAGTCCTGTCGAGCTGATGCAACATCACCTCAGGCTCCCTCTGAACCCTCTGAACCCCTGAAAAGACTAGAAGACGTCCCTCAGCTCAGGACAGTGCTACCACAATTCTTTCAGTGCCTGTATGTGGTTGCTGGGTGACATCACGATGCAGAACATTAGGAAGAGAGAAAGGGAAAGAGGAAGAGGAAGAAGAATGTGGCTCCAGCAAGCTTATGAAACGACATACACGGTCACAAAGAGTCACCGCTGAGAAACTTGTGGGTCTGGGGAAGAACACACTGGTACAGCATGAGGCTGAGAACACAGAACCAAACACCAGCCATGGGTGTGTCACAAGCACTTCCATGGCACGGGCAGAAATGAAAAAGCTGGAGCATAGGAAAAGACTGGAAACAAGCAAAAAGGAAAATGGAGGCAGAGAATGAAAGCGACGAGTGAGAGGTAAGTCTCGTGGGAACTGAAGAGGTAAGAGAGTGGACCCCAGAGAGCTATCCCAAACTGATGTTTGATATCCTAATTCCTGGCTCACAGGGTGCTTGAGATGCCAGAGCCAGGAGTGGAAAAAGGAAAAGAGAGCAAATGGGCTCTGATTCCATTCTCACCCAGGCCCTTTCAGCAATTTGGAAAAGTCATTTCCCCTCTCTGGACCTGTTTCCTTGCCTGTACAATAGGACAGGGTTAGGTTTGCCTCTGGTCCAGTTCACCCCAAGGGGTTGTGTTTTTGTGATAAGGGACAAAGAAGTTGTCAATCCATTCGTCTAAGGGCAGGGAATCTACTTCCACCCTTCGACACTGTGCAAAACGAAATGCCTTATAACCGCCGATGCTGAATTTTTTTTAATTGTTCATTTCGTTTACATTTCCTGAAGCATGGACCTCAAGGGAACAACAAAGATCCTCACGGATCGCATACCCCCACCACAACCCACAGAATCACAGACACTCAAGAATCTGGTGGATACACCTCCAGCTGCTGACACAGGTTGCCTAAACCAAGGCCCAAAACATACCGGCAGCCGGGTCCAAATCTATCTATAGACGGAAGCAAGCCCCAGCAAGTGAGCCTCATTGTTCCACAGGAAAGGGAGTTTACAAAGGAAACAAAAACTCAGGAACGGGGGGGGGGGTGGGGAGGGCAAAGCCCTGGCTCCGAGAAGCCTGCAGCCAAAGAACAGACAGGTCCTCCCCCTGGGAATAGTCCCCCGGTCAACATTTGCCAAGGGCTCTCAAGGTAGCTACTCCAGAAAGGAACTTTTAGAGCTGTTCTGAGAAAATTCAGATTTCAAATTGATTTCCTCTTGGGACTTTGAACCCAGACATTGCCCAGAGCAACCACCCCACGGCCCGGGAAAGAGATGACCCCCCCTTCCCCCCCCCCCCCGTAGGTCTGCCCTGCCCACCGTTTGGGAGCAGAGTTCCCAGGGGCCAAAGTCAGGGGTGCGAGGCTCGGGGCTTCTCTCGGGTTGTGCGCGGATGTTGGCTGCGTGTTGGGTGGGGGGCAGGATGGCCCCCCAGGCGCGTGTGGAGGGGTGCGCCTGGGCAGATGTGTGCAGGGTCCTCACGGCTAAGTGAGGCTGGGGAAAGTGAGGCCACCCCCTCCCTGGTTTTCGGCCGAGTGCTGGAGAGCGGCGGCTCCCTCCGGGTGGGTGTAAGGGCAGGGGGTGGGGGAGGGGAGCCAGGCACCCGCCGGGGGAAGGGGGAGGGGAAAACAGGGAAGGGCCAGGAGTGGAAAAGTGGACTCGCAGGGTGAAGCTGGCAGGTTTCTCAACTCCTCGCCTGCCGCGGGCGAGGGGCGTGGGGAGCGCCTCCCTCCAACCTCTGACCCGACCCACCGATTCCTCCCAAAACTCCGGGAACTTACCCAGGATGACCAATGCGAAGAGAAGCAAATGCTTCCTCCCGGCTCTCGCCTTGGTCCCCATGACGATCAGGATCCAGATGCTACACGGCCGCCGCAGCCCGGGAGTCAGATTCACCCGCAGCCGCTGGGGGACTAAACTCTGGCCGCCAGGTCTAGCCCCGCCCGGCCCCGCCCTCCACGGCGATTGGTCGGCGCCCCGCCCCTGCGCGTTCCCATTGGTGGAGGGAGCCGCCGCTCCCGTTGAGTGATTCACCGTCGCCAGGTGCAGCCTCGCCCGGTGCTCCGCGCTCCCTGCGCTGGGCGCCTTTCCAAGTCCCAGTCGCCTCTGATTGGCCCGGGGGACTGTCGCGTCAGGAGACCAGCGCTCACCTTCTGCAGGTGAGGACGCCCTGATTGGCCGGCGTTCCTGAAGTAGGGACTTTCTGACTGGCTAGGTTCTGAGTCAGGACGGGAGGATTGGAGGGAGACCCGGAGGAGGGAGGGGAGGGGGTCGTGCTGCCCGCCCCCTGGAGACCAGGCTGCGTTTGTTTTCTGTGGCCTGGATGTTTGTTTGCATGTAAATCGCTGGGTGCTGCAGAAACCTGGGTCCTCACCCTTTGGCAAGTGAAAACCACACATTCCTGGGGGGGGAGGGGGGCGGGGCGGAGAGAAGTGGACACGAGCCCCAAACCGCGATCCTCTGTCGACCCCTCTCAAAGTTTGTGATGCTACGATGGAGAGAAGGAAAAGGAAGGACCGGGGAAGGGAGCCCTCGACTCCAAAGTGGGAAAAGCAGAATTTCCTTCTCAAGAACTTTAAACACTCAGGACACCCAACACACCCTGATAATGCAAGCTGTTCACAGACAGACGCTCTGTAAACATCTCTGTGAGGGCCCGGATTTGTCCTTTACACACGTCCGATGTGTCAGCGAAACCCTACGTTTCAAAATTGTTTATCTTCTTCCTGTGACCAACAGTCGGGTGCTGACTAAGCCCCTCTTGTTATTGACTATGTTAACACTCCAGCTTTCTGTTAGTGTTTATATTATTGTGTCATTTTTTATTGAAACTCATGCTCAACACCTTTACTATTTCTAGCTTTTGCTTTACAATGATTTCATTTGAACTGATCTTGCCTATTGGAAAACTTCCTGAACGATGATTTCATTGCCGAGTGAAAAGTCCACACCTGTATGCAAAACGGTGGGTAGTGATCTTTGACCTTCTGCTTCTTGCTTTATGCTCTCAGTCCCTTGTTGGCATCACTTGGGTCCCACTCAATCTAAAGCAATGGTTATTTAAGCACCTAGTGGGTGCTGTAGGGAAATACAGATCAATATAAACCAGTCTCTGACTTCACATGGCTGTCTGTCTACTTCCAAGACTGATACAGGGAACAGGATATTATATAACTAAAAGAAACGTCATATTACTGAATTGAAACCAATGTTCCTGTGCCTGCCATGTGCAAAGTTCTGTTCTTTACCCTCAAAGGAACTTAAAGTCTTGGAGACAGAGGCAGATATAAGGGATAGGAAGAGCTACGAGAAGGGACCGATCACTGGGGGGCTGTAAGTGTCACAGAAAACTTTAAGGGTGGGTGGGCTTGAGCAGGGGGTTAAAGGAACTCTGATACTAGTCAGAAGTCTCTAGATGGAAGGGTCATCCTAGAGGTCATTTAAGTCATCCTCTCACCCTACCTAGGGAGGCTCATACAATCATAGAGAGGTTTCTTTATAATTTTTTAAATGTTTATTTATTTTTGAGAGACAGAGCGTGAACAGGGGAGGGGGAGAGAGAGAGAGGGAGACACAGAATCTGAAGCAGGCTCCAGGCTCTGAGCTGTCAGCACAGAGCCCAACACAGGACTCCAAACCCGTGAACCATGAGATGGTGACCTGAGCTGAACTGGGACCCTTAACCGACTGAGCCACCCAGGTGCCCCAACCACTGAGAGTTCATACATCCTCTGTTTAAACTCTAATAAAAGTTATCGAGGCAGACCAATTCTGCTTTTTGTACAACTCTTAGCTGTTAAAATATCCTTTCTGGGGGGCAGGGGTACCTCAGCCAGTTAAGCATCCTACTCTCGACTTCAGCTCAGGTCATGATCTCATGGTTACGACACTGAGCCCAAGTTGGGCTCCATAGGGCTCCTTGGGGTTCTGTGGGGCTCCACACTGAGCATGGGGCATGCTTAAGATGCTCTCTCCCTCTCCCTCTGCCCCTAACGCCCTCATAAAAAACGTATGTATATATACTTTCTGGAATCTGCTTCCTGGTAACTTCCTGCCTCTATCTGGAGTTATGCAAAATAATGTCATTATTCTTTGCCAATGACAGCCCTTCCTTCAAGTATTTTAAGATACTTATGATGAGCCTCCCAAGTCTTTCCTTCTCCAAGCTAAACATCATTAAATCATTCTAAGAACCTTCATAAGACATGGTTTCACAAGCCTCTGCCTCCCCACCCCACCCCCACCTGCTTCCTGCCCCAGGAACAATCCCTTGTTTTTTACCATACCAAGATCTGAAACAGGCACTGGAGAAGCCATCTCTCCATGAGATGGACAGAGCTCAATTCAAATCCAGTCCCCCAGTTTCTAGCTAGTCCTTGGCCAGCTCACATCTCTCTGAAACTTTCTGCATCCAGAAGGTAGTTCTGATGACAGTAATACCTTATAGCAAAACCAGAATTAAATAATATAAAACATATAATATGCTAAGCACAGCACTTGGTCCATTTTAAGCACTGAGATGATGGCTATTCCCATCACTTGTACTTACAGCGCAAGAATGCACTCACAAAATATCATAGCCATATTATGCCACTGAGTTAGTTATAGTCAACTTATGGCAAACTAAAATCCACAAGTCTTTATTTTCAATCGGACTATCGCTCTCAGCCTTTTGGCTAAGATCAAGTGTATTTTCAATCGGACTACTATTTATTAAGTCAGGTCTCTCACATCCTGTCCTTGTTTCTTTTTTCTTTTTTTTAATGTTTTATTTTATTTTTTTTGGGGGAGAGACAGAGAGAGAGGGAGACATAGAATCCAAAGCAGGCTTCAGGCTCCGAGCTATCATCACAGAGCCTGATGCTGGGCTCGAATTCATGAACTGTGAGATCATGACCTGAACCGAAGTCGGATGCTTAACGCTTAACTTCCCCACAGTTGTTTCTTAACTAAAGTACATTTGCATTGAACCTTATTCAAGTTCATAAGTTTTTGTTTTGAAAATGAAATATTCCTATATACAAAAGTAGACATGAAATAATGTTAATGGTTAAGAGTAAATGAAAAAAGTAAATACAAATAGTATGCATCCCAGTTATTTCTATACAAAATATTTGTGTATACAAGTATAAAGCACAAAAGTAGGGGCGCCTGGGTGGCTTAGTCTGTTAAGGGTCCGACTTCGGCTCAAGTCATGATCTCACGGTTCGTGGGTTCGAGCCCCACATCGGGCTCTGTGCTGACAGCTCAGAGCCTGGAGCGTGTTTCAGATTCTGTGTCTCCCTCTCTCTCTGACTCTCCCCTGCTCTTTCTCTCTCTCCCTCTCTCTCTCAGAAATAAAAAAAAAAAAAAAAAATTGAACAAGGACAGAGTTGAAAAGGGAATCCTGAACTGACTTCTTTCCAAGTTGACCTTTACACTAACAGCACTCTAGGTACTGATATTCCCAAATATTCCTGTAGAGAGACGCTGTGTTACTGCCATGTATTTGTCTAATGGATACCTTGAATTTTCTAACTAATCCTGTTAGTCATTTTGCTTTGGTCACTAGGAAGACCAAATCCAAATTTGCAATTCAAGTCCAAAATTGATTTGCATTCCTGACTCCAACTCTCTCCTGGCTGCATCTGACTAGCCTGAGTATGCTCTTCCATTTTCCCTTGGCCTTGCAATATGTTTTTAAAAAATCCTTTATCCAGGGATGCCTGGGGGGCTCAATCAGTGAAGCATCCGACTCTTGGTTTCCGCTCAGGTCATGGTCTCCTGGTTCCCGAATTCGAGCCCTGCGTTGGGCTCTGTGCTGGCAGTGTGGAGCCTGCTTGGGATTCTGTCTCTCTGCCCCTCCCCTGCTCTCTCTCTCACTCTCTCTCTCTCTCTTTCAAAATAAGTAAAAATAAAAACTTAAAAAAATAAAATAAATAAAATTTTTTTATCCATTTTGAAATGTAGATTTTAGGCACATACAAACATGCCCTGGGGGTGGTGTGGGATCCTTCCCTGCAGGAATAAGGATTTAGTGCCCCAGTTACTGTCCTCTGGGAATTCTCTCCACTAAAGAGAGTCACCTAGGCCAAAGGCACACCCCCTTCCCAGGGTCACCTCTAAGGACTAATCCCCGTGTGTCGTTCATGGGCCATCTTGAAAGAAGTTTCTATGGAGTACTGGTGCAGGCAATAAAACCTGCATGCAGTCGCTAAAGAGAGAATGTAAGTTGAGGAAATAAAGACAGTGGCTACAGACAGTTCAACTAAGATTTTGCTGAGAGGGCAGCAGAGAAAAGGAGCAGCTGCTGGAGGGGAGGGCTGTTGGATGAAGGCAGAGCAAGTATTTTGTTTGCATGGAAACACGGTAATGGCAATGATCTGGCAGAAAGAAAAAAATCAACTCTGTATGAGAAAGAGGGGACATCTGCAGTAGCAAGTTCTTGAGGTGAGAGGAGATGGGATCCAGAGCTCAAGTTGAGTGTTAAAAGGGAACAGAGCCAGCCATCCCCTGTCAGAAGAGGGAAGTGTGTGGTATACCTGGCCCATTTGTTTGCCGGAAGATGATGGAAATTCAGTCTGGTTTCTGCTCTCAGTTGAGTATGAGGCAAAGTTATTAGCAACGAGTACACAGGGGAAAGGAAGGTTAGGAGCTCTAACTAGTAGGGAGAGCTTTCTGTGCAGACTGCACTCTTGCAAACATGGTGAGCCTTTCTAGAACCTGCCAGATTTTCTGGGAGAAGTGTGGCAAGCACCAGCCCACAAAGTGACACAGTACAAGACACGCAGAAGATCCTCTGTATGCTCAGGGGAAGCGGCATTATGACAGGAAGCTAGGTGGCCACGGATGGGCCAAGTCAGATCATTTTCCAGTAAAAGGCCATAAAAGTACAAAGAAGCTCGCACTGAGGTTTGAATGTGTTGAGCCCAGATGCAGATC